CGTACTTATGTATATTTATATATATGTGAACATATCTTACGTTAGTAAAAAGCTCTTGGCCAGCATCGAGGAGTTCAGACGGTTAATTAATTTAGGAAAAAAATAGGATTTGGAATAGGATTTCGGATAGGGTCAGATTTCGGAATACGATACAATTTAGGAAAAAAAATAGAATGTAAATAGGATGAAAATTCGGCATAGGAGGTTAGCGTGCTTGAATTATGATTGACAGGTGCCGGAGGAGGAGGGGGAAGGGAGAAGGAGCTTTCAGCACGCCTCCACCTCCTACTCCCCTCCCCATTCCTGCCTCCCCCCCCTTCCCGTCCCGGCACCCCCCAGCAGAGCGGCAGTGGTGGGGGGGGGATGGTCCGGGGTGGGGGGGTGGCAGACTGGCAGAGCAGCTGTTTTCCTATTTTTTCCCTATTTTTTCCTAATTTTTCCTATTTTTTTCCTATCCCTCCGAGGAAAAAGCAAAAAATCACATTTTCCTGAAAATAGGAAAAAAATAGGAACAAAAATAGGACAAAAATAGGAAAAAAGTAGGAGGCCGCTGAGGCCCCCCCTCTCCAACCCGCCCCCCCCCGCTGGGCCCTCCCGCCTCTAGCCTCCGTTTTCGGGCGTCGGGGGTAGAGGGTATCGTTAAGTATGCGAGTTATCGTGGTATTGCTGCTGTTGTGATTGTTCTGTGGATGCTGCTGCTCATGCCTGTGTTTTGCTCTATTTGCTGCCCTATTTGTTTCATACTTTTTTCCTATTGCGTAATTTCGTTCCTATTTTTTTCGTATCCATGATTCCTACTTTTTTTCTATTTTAATTATTTCCTGCATTTCTGATGGCTGGCTGACGATTCCCTTTACTATCTTACGTATGTATATGATAGTCATATCTGAAAACATGCCTGTTTGTGGACCGACCCCCCCCCCAAAGCAGGCCGGAGGAATTGCATGTTAGTAGACGCTTCGGTAGTGGAGTATAAGAGCCGGCATTCAACTGCAAGGTTTGTCCGCCGAGCCGTGGGCTGGCATATATATATATATATATATATATATATATATATCTTTATTTTTTTATTTATATTTATATTTTTATATATATATATATATTTATATTTATAATATATATATATATATATATATATATATATAAACATGGTATCGCCCCCCCCCCCCCCCCATGGATCTACCTTTTTCGTGTGTTTGTGAGCCACATCACACGAAAATGGAAGATCCTTGAGGGGAGGGCCTACCCGATGGACCGTTTTGTGGCTGGGTGAACTCCACCCTGGCCCGATTGAGTTCAATCGGGCCGATTGAACTCAGTCGCCCCCCCCCCGATTGAGTTCAATCGGGGCCGATTGAGTTGAATCGGGCGCCGGATTGAAGATTGAAGATTCCCTCGAAAACTTTGCCGGGGAATCTTCAATCTTCAATCTTCAATCCGGCCCCCGATTGAGTTCAATCGGGGCCGATTGAGTTGAATCAGGGCCGCTTGACTGCAATCGCGCTTCGTCCCAAGTGGGCGGGGTTTCAGGTTCAGGGTTGAGGAATTTGAATTTGATGTGCCGAACGTGTTTACCAGGATCTTATATACTGTATACAACGACTGTCATGTATAGGGCCATATGGGCATCCTGTAAGGTCTTCTATAGAGTATTCCAGACGGTCTTCCATGAGGCGCACGACATATAGAGGGTAGTATGTGTTCCATAAGGTATTTTGTAGGGTATTCTATGTCGTATTTTGTAAGGTATTCTAGATATTCAAAAGATATACGGACTGTGACTGAAAGTATATGATAAGGTATTCTCGAGGCTCTAGGGTATTCAATAAGGCATGAGGGTATTCTATATCAGTGCATTCCATATGAAAGGCTTTACGATACATAGAAAAAGTATTCCAAAGGACATCCTGCAAGATATTCTATATAGTGTCTTGTATAGAGTGTCCTATAGGGTATGTGTAATATAATGCGTGCGGGGTGTATCCTATATAGGTGGTCTTGGAGACGGTCCGGTATGACACAGGATGTTCGGGTGGATTTCTATAAGATATAAAGGTTATGTGAGTGGAATTTTGCAAAGTATTCTTAAATGTAATTTAAAGGGTACTATATTGGTGAAACACAAGGTATTGAACCCTGGAAATATCGATAGATTTCGTGTTCGCGGATATTATCTATAATCCCGATGCGTCCTATATATGGGACGTGTAGAAATAGGGTCCTCTTTTCATATCTATACTGGTCGTGATACGGGATGACATATCTTTGCTCTCCTGTTGCGTGTTACCTTCACAGCCCATACTGCTGCATGCAAAAACCTATACACACACACAGAACATGCATGCAACCTTGCGTTCTTTTGCAACACGAGAAGAAGCCGTACGCGAATGTATGTCGCTTGGAAAAACTCGGTGTGTATATGAAGCAAATGCAGAATTTAGGATCTGCGAAATCTTTGATCGAGTCGAAGCGTATTTAGTGAAGGACTTATAAAGAGAAGGGAATACGTTATAGAATATCAACTATTTCCCATCCGGCTCTCAAACACACGAAAAAGGTAGATCCTTGAGGGGGGGGATAGCATATACATATAAGTATGTATGTGTATATATGTACATATATATATATATATATACATATGTGTAAATATGTACAGATATGCTTGTTTACACCCTTTTCTCGTTTAGTGTAGAGCAGTGCTGGGTGGTAGGCGCGATAAGTTGAAGGATGTGGCGAGGGAGCTCGGCTTCCGCCCTTGGGGCAGCCCGGAGCTCAAATCATTCTTCCGAGCGATTCTAACAAGGCTACCAATATAGGGTCCTTAATAGTCAGAATAAGGTTTTGGGGCAAACTATACTATAAGTATAGTAAAGATAGGTAGGTATTGAGGCCCTATATTCGTCTCCTCGGGTTTAAGGGTTTGGGGTTTGTGGTTATGTAGGGTTGCCCATTCCAAAGCGAAGAGGGCCAGTCCTAGCTCGTAGTATACTTGCTCCTTCGGACACGTCCCGCGTTCCGATATTAGTGTTTAGGGGTTTAGGGTTTAGGGTTCTTGGATTCTATGTCTGTCTTGAGTTCAAAGAACCAAAAAGAGCCAATGCCGGCGACATTGTACATCTAGGCATGGGGCTTAGATCAAGTCCAACTTCGCATGGTAAACTTGAGTTAAAGGAAGGCAACAGGTGCCTCAATGGCCAATACAGTTAAGTGTTGGAGTTCGAGGTTAGAGATCTTCCGTGGACAGTTTAACATGAAGAACTGCTTGAACTTCTCGCGGGCTTGCACCGGGGCCCAGAGGGTAAGGAACACTAGATTGGCATGTGAGAACACTCATAGAGGCGGGAGGAGGTTCAAGACTAAGACTGATCAGCAGAGCGATTGTTCTATCAATCAGAAGGCCCCCCAATGAGAACGACCCCAATGCTAATCACAACCATGGTGAGTGTCTTTGCTTGCCAACAATGTTGGATCTGGCGATGACGCTGATAGCGAAGTTAACTATGGCAAGTGTGATCGCCGAGATGGTGGCTGTGATGGTGATGTGCTAATCACGATAGCGACGACCATGGTTACTGTTGCGACGCTGTTGCTGCGGCTGCTGATGATGGTGGTGATGATAATGGCTGCGACGACGACGACAATAGTGATGATTCTGCGCACGGTGTGGGTTGATAGTGATGGTACTGGCGCTGTTGATGGCCTTGGCGATGGTTGCCATGATGATGATGATGACGATGATGATGATGGTGATATTGCTGATGATGTTGGTCAACCCCGTCATGGTGACGACCAGGACGATGACATCGATGTTGACGGTTGTTATAACGAGGACCGTGTTGACACTTATGTTGGCATATACATCTTGGTGCAATGACGAAGATGTATTGTCTTGCTTGCAAGTTGACCGTGGCAGTCATTCAGGCACGGGTCAGCGGCGGCCGGAGTGAGCAAAAATGTGTCTACCCTGCATGCGGTTTGTCAAGTTGCCCAGCACTCAACCAAGTTGAGGATGCAGGGGCCCAGCTGGCGTGGAGGACGCACAGCTATGTAGTCAGGACCATCAGGCAACTGATTTATGTTTATGCGAAGTGTCGAGAACCTCGACTCTTCAGTAGCTCATTCGCCCAGCTAGCGTCGAAGTCGCTTAGCTGTTGAAGCCGTTGCGAGCCAGGAGGCCGACAGACCTATAATCATGATACGTGTAATCATAATAGCAAGTTAGCAATGAAGGCAATAATGGTATCTAACAATCATAATCAAGACCTACCTGAAAGGTTTTCACCGGCACTAGTGACACTCGCGGATATATGTGGAGCAAGTTTGAGCAGTACGTAGCCGGCAATGATCTTGAAAGGCGCATCAGTGGAGGCTGGGAGAACCCCCGCCTCTTGTGCATCAGCTTTTGTAGCTGTAGTTGCGTATATTATCGCAGGAGTCTTGGGTATTGTGAGAATGGGGAGGCCTATCGAGTCTAGTGTAGTCCTGTAGCTTCTGGCTTGGCAGGTAAGGCCGACCTTGTCAAGGTCTCCATCCCCCCTTCAGGCAATCTTATGGCCCTGTGATGTATGTCAGCCGTTCTGAAAGCTCGCAGCCGCGAATATTTCCTTCGGTGCTGCCTGAGTGCGGCATTCCGCTGCACCCGGGCACTGCCGGCTTGGCATCCTTTGGAGCTTCCCTCGATGCTTGCAGTGCCTTTGTTTTTGAAGGTACATGGGCAGCAAGCGTTGATGCATAGACTCCCGTGGATGCTCACAGTTGCGTCGACACCTCCAAGGAAGTGTTGGTTAAGAGGTAGCACGCTGGGTTGCTTTCGTCATGACCGCTGTCATTGAGAAGCATCACGTCATCTGAGGCATAGCTTGAAGGGAAGTAGTGTGGTTTGGGAGAGGTCTGCTGACTCAGTTGGCAGGTTCCAAGGGGACGGGCCTCTAAATCTGTGCAAGACGTGGCCCCTCCGAGTTTCGCAGCGGACACAGCCACTACATGCTGTTCGGCATGAGGTACGGAGATGTCTCAGCCATCGCCCGTTCTGTCCGATGGCGAGGATGTCGAGGACCACACATGGGGTTTCCGAAAATTAGGGGTTACTCTATTTGGGGGGTCCCTGCAAGGATCCTACTATTTAGGGTACTGTAGAAGGGTCCCCTATTTTCGGAAACTTCTAGATGACCCGTTGAATTGACTGCAGGTCTGCCGCTGGCACAGATAGCCCCTTCTTCCCTCGGCATCTCTCCTCATAGATGCCAGTTGTCGGAGACAAGGCTGATAAGGGCCAATGAAACTGAAGGCACTGAGGGAACTGAGAAGCCCCCTAAGCCCTAAGCCCTAAACCCTAAACCCTAAGCCCTAAACCCTAAACCCTAAACCCCTAAACCCTAAACCCCTAAGCCCTAAGCCCTAAACCGATATCTGATCATCGGGCCGGAGCTGAAAAACACAACAAATGCAGCAGACATGCCACCCGAAGAGCATGTTTCAGAAAAATGGGGGGTACCTTAGTTTGGAGTCCTTATATGAGGGTCCTACTATTTAGGGTACGATATTAGGGTCCCCTATTTTTGGAAACTCCCATGTCATATGGCCGAACCTCGTTGTGCCAAAGCTTCTCCAAGTCTGCCGCTGCGGACGTGCCCTAAGGTTAGGCCTTAGGGTTGAGGGTTTAGTTAAGGACTCAAACCCGAATCCTGGCACGAGGATGAACCAATCTCCGTCGGAACAGAGAGTGCCTCGCGGTGCAGGGCTGAGACGCAGCTCCAGCGATATTAGAGCGTCCCCCTGCTCAGCAGCACGTTCGACTTGGAGAGAGTCTTCTTTCGGTTTTCCACTCAGCACTCTGCTCACTGCAACAATCGGCAACATTTCCCAGCCGGTAGACTCCCTGCAGATTCAGTGTTCCATAGGCTTCGGCACCAGCAAGGTATGCTTGAGTGTCCTTAGGCTCCCACAGACCACAGGTGTGTGATGTTTATTGCCCTTTCCGGCACTTATGGCCTCACCTATCGCTACCCTGAGAACTTCAAGTAAACCCCAAACCAGGCAGACATCCTCATAGGATCTTATGTACAAACAGAAGGCTCAGAAGGCCCTGCCTTAATCTATTTCTGCGCAACCTTGACCTTATCGAATATAGGGGCCTAAATAATTACCAATACTATTCCTAGGGTTCCTCATTATTGTTATAGTATAATGGGCCCCAAAACCCTATCCTTATTATTAAGGCCCCGATACTATAGAACCCTACTATAGATCCCTTATAGACCCTTTTAAAGGAACCCTATTCTGATTATTTAGGGCCCCTATAGTAACGAGGTCGGACGTCGGCGACTCGGAGCTGGAGGACTCCTTTCGCCGCGAACGGTTGGGCGAAGAGAGAGACACTGGGTTTAGGGTTTAGGATTTGAGGGTTTAGGATTTAGGGTTTGGGGGTTTAGGGTTTAGGGACGAAGAGGGATCCAGAGAGGGAGAGACCACGAGAAAGAGCAGTGGATGGAGGCAGATGCTGAGGGCAGAAAGACTTTAGAAAGAGAGCCAGAGAGAGGCGTGGGCGAGTAGCAGCAGCGGTGCTGTCTAGCAGTAACAGTACTGTTTAAGTGGTAATAGTGGCATGGTGATGTTCGTCGTCGCGGTAGTAGTAGCAGCAGCAGTAGTAGTAGCAGGAGTAGCAGCAGGGCCGCTTGACGTGGCAGCAGCCCAGCAGCAGCAGCAGCAGCAGCAGCAGCACTTGTAAAAGTTGCTGCTTGCACTTTCTCACGAGCCATTCTGCATCATAACTTCCACTACTACTCGCTTCAACACAGCATGCGCCAGGAGATCGAGGAGGTGCCCCTGTGCAGAGGGTGGGTGACTGTGTGTATATGTAATTCTGCTGACTCTGTATGTATACATATATATATATATATATAGGTACATATATATATATACATATGTATGCACATAAATTTATAAAAGTGTATATACATCCACATGCACATCCACATGCGCAAACACTTACATATACATGTACATGTACATGTACATATACATATACGTCTATGTATAAGTAAAACTAATACATACAAACACATGTTCATTTTGACTTCTTTTATGCACCATACACACGCACCCCGGCACTCATGTACATGTACACACATACCCACATATAGATTTGCCTACAACCAACATAACACATACAAACACACAAACATACATGCATACATAGACCCTAAACTCAACCTTCGATCTTTCGATCCGAAATCCAGAGCCCACCTTATTGCACCATTCCTTCCACCCTAAACCGTGAACATCCCTAAACCCTAAACCCTTAAACTCTAAAACCCTAAACTCTTAAACCCCCCTAAGCCCCAAACCCTAACCCCCTAAACCCTAAACCCCTAAACCCTAAACCCCTAAACCCTAAATCCCTAATGTGATTATTCGGATCCCTTGCACCTTCGACGGAGGCGCTGGCCGCCCCGTCGCCTCCGGCACCGGCACCGAGCTCCTTCCGGCCGCCCCCTCCCCCCGAGGCAAGCCGAGGGCTGTAGGGTTTAGGGTTTAGGGGTTTAGGGTTTCGGGCTTAGGGTTTAAGTAGGGTTTAAGGTAGAGGGTTTAGGGTTCGGGGGGGGGCATAGTGCTGTTGGGGCTTAAAACTTCTGGGCTGCATAGGGTTTCGAATCAGAGTATGTAGGGATGCAGTGCTTAAGGGTCTGGATTAGGATCTGGCGCTTTGGAGTGAGAGGCTTGCTTGGATTGGCAGAGGCTCGGTAAGCGCTGTATCCACCGTCAGTACGACTGTTGTTTTGGGGTTTAGGGTTGCTCGGCCATCCTCCCCTTCCTGCAGTACTCGGCGGTTCGTGCTATCGTACTGTCGAAGCCAGACTAAATGTTTTCGGTGCTGGCTTTCTGATTTCGAGCTGCTGATCGCTTCCCGTAACTCTAGACTGTCACATGACTGAAAAGCTGGGTGAAGAGATACCATTTTTCGAAAAGCTTCCTTCAGCCATACATGTGGTTACAACTTTTTAGTGTTAGTTATTGTATATGTCTACATATATATATATATATATATATATGTATACACATACACATGTTACATATAACCCCCCCACACACACACACATAGAAATACGTGTATATATGTATACATACATATGTTCATATATATATATATATATGTACATACATACATAAATATGAGTGATGTCTATAATCACGTATACATACATGTGCATGTGTACATATATATATATATATATATATATACATAAATATAAATAAATAAATAAATATATATATATATATATATATATATACGCTGGCAGCATGAGTTCCAGTCCCGGCGAAGAACAAGCAGGCTACTTCTTGTTACAATCATAGTTCGACTTACTGCGTTCTTCGTCTACGCCCTCCTACTCCTCACTCTGTCCTGGCACTTCATATTACCCTCAACTTTCAGCCAACTTCGAAACTGTTGCCTAAACTGGTGAACGCGTCTCTTGCATGCAAGGCTCCGCAGCAAGTTCTAGGCCCGCACGACTCCCAGGTGGTTGCGGTAGTCTTTCGAAATTCGTCCCCTAAACCCTGCACCCGTACCTTTCACCTAAACATCCAGAACCCGGAAAGCGCAAACCCACTGTTGTTGTTTCACGTTCCTGAGACGAGCATGTGTCTGGCATGCACTCAGAATTAGGAGTCTTGACGGTTTTGGGTTTGGGTTGCCAGGGGCAAGTTGTTAAGTTACTTCAGGGTCTGGCTGGTATTGAGTATTTATGTCTGCAGGCAGGCTTGTGTACACCACCTTATTTGGTTTGCATTTGTTTTCACATGTTCGGGCCATGTAGCCACGCAGAATCAATATCCGGACGAGACTTGCTAAGGAACTTCGGCCACCGCTACTCTGAGGACAGCTGAAGTTGCAAGGGCACCTGCGGCTGTAAGAACCCTTGAGGATTCAAGGTGGATTTCGGGGGCTGGGCTCGGAGGTATCTGGACAAAGTTCTTCATGGGCCATGGGGACGCTCGAGAAAGCTCCTCCAACAATCTAAAGTAAAAGCCAGAAAGTTGGAATATGATTATCCTAAACCCTTTATGGTATATTATAGGGTATCCTACCCTGAAACCATATTCCAACTTTCTGGAGTTCCCTCTAGGCAGGTGAGTGCGGCTTGGAAAGCATCGGAGGAGGACGCCGCTGTGAAAGCACTTTGATCGCTTGCGCAGCTGTTGGCTACATTGCTTTACCCAAAGGGTCCAAGTAATTATAGTCGGCACTTAGTACCCCAAAGTATACACTATATGGTTACTCGGACCCTTGGGGTTAGCTGATTCTAGCTGTGCTCTCTTGACTGCTAGCCAGCTAGCAGAAAGTCAGATATTTACATCAGCGGATGCTGCATTCATCACAGTACTTTATGCTGCACGCAAGCTCCGCAAGAAGCATATCTCCTATTTGCCCAAAAACATCTTGGACCCCAAGCCACAGATCCCAAAACCCTCAAGCCCAAAGACCCAGAAACTCAGAATGCCTTTCAGTCCCATGTGGGAGTTTCCCAAAACAGGGGACCCTAATATATTACCCTAAATAGTAGGATCCTTGTTTTAAGGACCCCAAAATAAGGTACCCCTAATTTTCGGAAACTCCCATGTTGCCCTTTCATTGAATCCCGCCTGACAAGTCTCCTCTAGGACGTCGCACCCCAGGGCTTCCTTGACCCCGAGTCCTGAAGCCCAGCCGCCTGAAATCCGAAGCCCTATACCCTAACTAGGTAGGCCTTTGGGACATGTTATATTGTCCCTTATTGGGCTTAATAGGACCCTATCTACGAATATTTTTCAGAGGCTTTAAAGGGCCAACCTAGCTAAAACCAAGTCCGAAACCCGGAGAAGCCCTAAATCCAGCCGCGGCGTTTATGTGATCCGCCATGCCTCGATACTACCATGGAGCTGCCGTAGTGTTCAAGGCCCCGAAACCGCCTGATTGGTCGTTTGGGTTGGTAGGTCTCGGGTATTAGGGTCTAGAGTCTGTGCCAAATGGCAGTATGGCTAGATTTCCGTTGCAGGAACTGCATGCTTCTGTCAGCATTGGCTGGAATCACACTCCGACACCTTACCCTGCAAAGACCGTGAGCGCTCAGCACTGAATTCCACATGAGGGTGATTAACAGTGAAGCCGGGCATCTTGCAGAAGTACTGCTCAGGCATAAGAAAGCTCAGACAAGTAGACCAAACACAGTGCTAGCAAGTATGTTTGCATGAAGCCCCCAAACACGATCAACGACCAAAGGTCTGAGACCAGTTTGTGACGACTCTGCCCTTACTGCCGTGAGAACCAAAACGTATTCGTGTGCCCACTTACCGAAGCTAGAGGCATTGCACAAGAGCCATCTTTCTGGCGAGAGTAGGTGTTTCGGGTCGCAGCAGTTCGGATTGATACCTTCAAGTCCGAAAGTCCGAATAACCTAACTCCTGGCAAAGTTGGAACCAGTGCTACAGGTGGCTTCGGGGGTGTTGTAGTCTTTCCTGCGAAGGAACCCAACCGTGACAAGCCTGCCTAGACAAGCCAACCAAGCTTCAGGACCACGCTAGAAGCACTCTAGACCCTAGCCGATGTGCAAATTATTTGATTCGATTGTTCAGCTCCGCTTAGCTTGCAGGCTCTGTTAAGCCTTAAACCCATAGACAGCCCTGCACCCGAGCAATCCCGAAAACGTGGCGCTCGAAAGTTTCGAGGCTTAAGCACCCTAGTCCTTCATTCAGAGCCGCCGTAGAACCACTTAACGCACCGGAGCGTTTCGTACCGAACCTCCCGAAAACCCACTGAGTTCACAGCTTATCAGTAGCTCGCTAAGTACCCTCAAAACCCCTAAACCCTATAAACTTTAAACTTGTTTTCAGCCCTGGAAATGCCTACCAGCCCCGACTGAAATGAGCCCCCTGTAGAACACGCATACCCCCATAAAAGCCCTTGCGCCCGGTGCAAAACCCAAGCAGAACCGTTGTTGACACTGAACCCTAAACCCTACATCCTAAGCTCCAAACCCTAACCTAAACCCTAAACCTCTAAACCCTAAACCCTAAACCCCTAAACCCTAAACCCCTAAACCCCTAAACCCTAAACCTCTAAACCCTAAGCCCTAAACCCTAAACCCCTAAACCCTAAACCCCTAAACCCTAAACCCTACACCCTAAACCCTAACCTAAACCCTAAGCCTAACCCAGACCCCCCAAGTACCCTTTGTAGTAGTCCCTAATTACCTCTTAATGAGAAATATTAGAGCCCTTTAAAAGGTACTTGGGGGGTCCTGGAAACCCCAAACCTCTAAACCCCTAAACCTCTAAACCCCTAAACCCTAAACCCCTACACCCCTAAACCCCTAAACCCCTAAACTCTAAACCAGGCTCTACCTACTAGGTATTCCGACTGTAGCAAGGAGGAAAAGGGCCCTCAAAAAAAAAAAAAACTCTTAACCTCTAAACTCCTAAACTTCCAGGGGCCCAGTGGTCCTCGCCTGGCCGCTGTGGTCGCGGGCCCATGGGAGGTCCGGGCTGAGGGGATGCGTTTATCGTTTATGGGTTTAGGGTTCGGAGTCTAGTTTTTTTTTTTTTGTTTGAGGGGGGGGTATTATGATGTTTGAAGTTCTTCTGTTGGGGAAGGCCTTTGTTCGGTCCGTTTTGTGATCGCAGTCGTTCCTTTGATGTGTTTCTTAGTTCCGTGCTTCTGCAGCAGTGGTCCTTTGAGTGCGAGTTTTGGATTCAGATTCTGACTCAAGGTCTTCATTGTCCTTGTTCCGTTTTTAGCGCTGATCACCGGATGACTAGCGTGACAGTGATACGACAGCCATGGTAACAATGGTCCTAGTATGATTTTTGACCGTGTTCTGGCATGATTTGAGTAAAGAGAGTTTAGGGCTGCGGCTTCGCACCTGAGTCATGACATCGGGTGTACAGCAAGGTGGTTTGAGGCTTTGTTTGCATAAGAAGTTGGGATGGATATGTAGATATATGTATGCAAATACATATGTGCGTACGTACATACGTACGTATGTGTGTCTGTATGTATGTATGTATGTCGGTATATATGTATACATGCATACATGCATGCGTACATACGTACATACATACAGACACGCATGCATACAGACAGACAGACGGACAGATAGACATACAAGCATGCAGACATACAAACCCACACACTCACTCATTCCTGTAGCTATATGTAATAATAATGTGCATATGACATATGTAGTGACTGATGTATGTGCTTGCCCATGCATGGGTTCTGTATTTGGTTTGTGCACTTGTTGCTTCGTTTGTTTCTTTGTATGCATGTTACATACATAGATACCCGTAGATAGGTAGGTAGGTAGATAGACGCATCGATGGATAGATAGATAGATAGATAGGTCGATAGATGGATAGGTACATGGGTCGGTAGGAAGGTCGGTCGAAGGTAGGCACGAACCGCACTCCCCTAAACCCTAAACTGCCCTGAACACGGAACCCGAAATCCCCAAAGCCCTAAACCCGAACATCCTTAAACCCCAACATCCTTATGCATATGGCCCCTGGAGTAACCTCTTAGATTGTAGCAACCTTTAAACTCTAAACCACCAACACCTGGAACACAAAACCCTGAACCCCTAAGCCCTTATCGCAAGCTTTCTAGAACTTATAGTAACCCTTGTAGTACCCCTTATAAACTTCTAGAGCCCTTATAGTAACCCTACTAGTAAATCTGAGAGAACCCTGTGAAGAAGTGGGCCCGGGGAGGATGGCAGCTATGATTTGGACTGCCCGGCCCTAAGGCTGTCTTTAGGGTCTGGGGGTTTTGGGGGGTTAGGGTTTGGGGGTTTAGGGTTTAGGGGTTTAGGGTCTAGCGGATAGGGTTTTTGAGATTCTATGGGGGTTTAGGGCTTTTAGGGCTATGGTTCCTTTAAAGGGATCTATACGGGTACCTTTAAGGGATCTATAAGGTTTTCAGGTTTAGGGTGCATGCAGATTTGCATCGGATCTAGGATTGAGGGTTTTACTTCGAGCCGAGTCTCATCGCTAAGCTCTTATCCCTAGACTGCTAGCATGGTTTCTAGCAGCCAGCTCTGAGGTTCTTGTTGTTTTGTTTATATCTGGCCTATGATACATTTATGCATATATATATATATATATATGTATGCATACATTTCTATGTTTGTAATTACAAAAATCATCATGATAATGCCACTACTAATAAGAATAAAACTAAAAACAGTCTTAGATATTCGATTTTAATGATAGTATAATCGTGAAGATAAGAATAGTCATCAGAGTAATAATGCATACATATGAAGCTCCGCGAGCTCGATGTGATTGAGAGGATCCGATGAGGTGTTTTCCATTCCCTAATCTGGTACGAGTCTATGACCAAGAACAAGGAGAATCAAGCAGCCTTCAGTGAGTCTGGATCAGGGTTTAGGGGTTTAGCATTTGGGCTTTAGGGCGTTGTTGAGTTTGTCTGGAAGGTTGAGGGCTGACCCGTCTCGACCAGCATGGGAAAGCATTGCCGATTCTTTGCTTGAGGCCACCCGACACAGTATTTCCGGAGCATTTCGCGACGGTTTGCCATTCCGGTGCATGGGCTTTCACTGTCATCCGTGTTTCACAAAATGAACGGCACGGTGAACAATGGCTCTTACAGAAAGCTTAGGCAGTTCAGGCCCTGTAGTGTATGCCTCGCCGAGGCCATCAGCGCGTCCGGCCCGATGCCATCATGCCCTTCCCAGACGGGGAGTTGGTGGAGTACCACAGTGCATCCATGAATGCCGAGCAGCCCAGTTTCTTAGGTTGCAAACCTGAATCAAAGTCCTCTGTTTCCACCAGCCTGTAGTCTTCTTCCGAAATCCTGCAAAGTCTTTTGCTCCCTCATCTGCAGTCGTGGATACCTGCACGACTACTCCGACAAGGCTCAAATTGTCTTGTGGAGACAGTTGCATGCCAAACCTCCTTCCACGAAATCGGAAAGTGCTTCTGCTTGCTTTCGCACTCAAGCCACTACTGCCTGCATGATGCTGGAGCAAAGTTGTTAATGTGAGTCACAATCGAAGGATTAGAAATATGAAAAGCATGCTGATATAACATAACCATGGCTATAACGGCGTAGCACAATGCATCGTCGTCAGCACATCCCGGTCTGAAGGCTCATTGATCGAGCGGAAGGGCTGCGACGACGAAGCTCGATAATGTTAAAAGTTTTCGAAGGTAGTGAATGTGCACAGTAGTTTTAGTGATAGTAGTAGCAGGAGTAGTAGTGGTGGTAGTAGCAGTAGCAGCAGTAGTAGTAGTTACAGTAGTAGTAGTAGTAGTAGTAGTAGTAGTAGTAGTAGTAGTAGTAGTAGTAGTAGTAGTAGTAGCAGCAGGAGTAGTAGTAGTAGTAGTAGTAGTAGTAGTAGTAGAAGTAGTAGTAGTAGAGTAGAAGTAGTAGTAGTAGTAGTAGTAGTAGTAGTAGTAGTAGTAGTAGTAGCAGTAGTCGCAGTAGTAGTAGTAGTAGTAGTAGTAGTAGTAGTAGTAGTAGTAGTAGTAGCAGCAGCAGTAGCAGCAGCAGCAGAAGTAGTTGTAGTCCGTGTCGTCGCAGTCGTCGTAGTCGTCGTCGTAGTAGTAGCAGTAGCAGTAGCAGTAGCAGTAGCAGTAGCAGTAGCAGTAGCAGTAGCAGTAGCAGTAGTAGTAGTAGTAGTAGTAGTAGTAGTAGTAGTAGTAGTAGTAGTAGTAGTAGTAATAGTAGTAGTAGTAGTAGTAGTAGTAGTAGTAGTAGTAGTAGTAGTAGTAGTAGTAGTAGTAGTAGTAGTAGTAGTAGTAATAGTAGTAGTAGTAGTAGTAGTAGTTGTTGTTGTTGTAGTTGTTGTAGGAGAGAAGGAATCGCCGTCTGCAGTCGCAGTCGCAGTCGTCGTCGTCGTCGTCGTCGTCGTCGTAGTAGTAGTAGTACTTGTAGTACTCGTAGTACTCACAGTCGTAGCATGTCGTAGCAGTAGGTCCCGTGGTGTAACTGTAGGTATATGGACGAGTAATAGCAGCAAGACTCAGACGTTTGAGGAACCACCCGCCGACGGTTCTTTGCTCATGCGCCAGGCCAAAGAATGGCAACCTTCGACCTCGTCATCTCCTCGGCGGTATGGCACACTACCTTTCGCAGTTCATTCGTGGGATTCTGTAAGCCTGTAAGCTTTTTAATTACGGGGTTCGTGTTGCAGGGCACGTGGTTTCGTTTTAAGAATAGTGGAATTTGGCCTTTACCAGCTACCACCAGAGGGGAGGGTCAAATCTGCTCGGCTTGAGGCTCAAAGCGGTTGTCTGCACATCATACAGAGTCTCAGATATTCCTACAATGAGCCTGCCCAAGCTGCTTTATGCCATGACAGAGTTTGCTTACACAGCTCATGCCGTGGGTGTTTCCGGTGGTACTTGTGCATGATATGTCATATGTGTTCCCGGCCATTCAAGCTGCACTTCGCAGCACGATAAATTTGGGAAGGTTGTTGGGTAACGAGTCACCAGCCAAAATGCATAATTACGGGTTGTGCAGCCCAGGTAGTAGCCATCACAGATACTTGTAGCATGCCGAGGGGTAACAGGGCGTTCCCGTGTCCCAGGACTGCAAGGACGGAGTGGAGATCAACAAGATACGCCTGCCGCCCCCACATGGTGGCCGGCCGCCTGCAAAGAGCACATAAGAAATGTTGCGAGCGGTCACCCTCTTCAGTACTTAATCTACAGCAGCCCTTCCACGGCATGGCTGATCAAGCTTTGTAGACATGCGCTAGTTGCGAACATCACAGCTATCAGCTACCCTAAACCCTAAACCCTGAGGAACACACGTGGCTTTCAGGCGGCCCTCCGTTTACTCAGATCCTTTGCACGTTGCAATTAACATGGACCAGCTGCGAAGCTTTGATTATAGAGAAGCAGCGAGAAAGGCTTGATCTTGCCATCGATTGCTGATGCCAAGTCTGCCGATGTTGATGTTGCCTCATCAAACTAAGCCATGGCTGCTCGGACAGGCAGGTCTAGCCTGGCTCTAGCCTTTATGTAGTAGTTGTCCAGCCCGACTTCTTCGAACCGTAGACAACTCCCGGCACCCGTCCCCCGTTCCTGTGCTTTTCAGCCAGAATGCGAAGCCCAGATGACCAAAACCCTGAACCTCAAACCCTATACTTTGAAACCCGAGACCTGAAACCCAAAGCCGATGCCATCAAGGCAGAGATGGGGGCAAGGACGCTGGCAAAGGCAGAGCGCGAGAATCGCAACTTGAATCCTCCAACCAAGTTTAGAGTCAGCGGGTCCTGAGGGCTTTTGTCCACATCTCTTGTCCATGTCAGAGTCCAGACATGTTATGGCAGATGTGTGGGCCGGGCGAACAGCTGACAATGATTTGGATGGTGGTGAGGTTGATGCTGATGGTCAACACCACCCGCACCTGAAGCCCTAACCAGAAGCGCCATATCCCAAGCCGCTCCATTGCCGACTGGCTCAGGTCATGAAATGCATGTTTGGGGAGGGAGGGGGTTGGGCGTTTACAGTCGATCGCAGGGTCTCTGCATGCCAATTCCATTAAAGACTTGTGTTTCAAAGGGGTCAGGGACTCAAGGTTGTTGTTTCGTTCTCAGTTGCATCCCAAGGAGGTTGGGCTTGACGCTTTGGGTGTTGACCACAGTCCCGGCTTCTGTGCGCTCGCCATGGCCAAAGAGGAGCCGGATGAGCAGTCTGAGCCGATCGTAGATGCTCAGAGGCTGTGCGGCCAGCAGAGCTCGGACATTTCACTTCGATCTTTCAAGTCGCGACTGGTAGAGTGGCGCGAGCAATGTCTTAGGTTTCAAGCCTCTGGCGAGACGTGGCTGCCCACGAAGCCCTGTTGTCCGGCGAGCCCCTTTCTAGGGTTAGAAGCTTGTCTTTGGCAAGGCTGCAAGAAGCACGAGCCAACCCCGTGTGCACAACTCCTGAGCATAGAGGAGTTGCTTGAGTTGTACGAGTTCTTCCGCGAAAACCCGCACCATGGCCTTTTCGAAGACCAACCGGAGGCCGCTTCCGGATCTGAACCACGGCTCGATGTGCGCCCTTGGATGCGGGATCTTCCAGCTCGAGTTTGGGCCGGCGACTATCTGCTCGAGGAGAACGGCATGTTGAAGCTCTCGCCGACCCCATGCGGCTCCGCTGCGCAGCGCCACGAGGGCTCGATCACAGAGCCCGGCGAAAAGCATTCAGAGTCAGTGGTCGCGCCAAGACCGGGCGGCAAGGCTCCTGAAAGGCAAAGGACTGGGAGCTGGCATGTGCAGCCCAGGGACACAGTCCCCAAGAAGAGAGGCCGTAGGGGTACGAGCAAGGTCAAAGAGAGAGCTGAGGCCCTGAAGGTCAAGCGGAAGCAGGTCACAGCGAGAGCCAAAGCCCACAAGCTGGCCAAGAAGTCTGACCGGAAGACAGCTCCCCTCTCCGCTGTGAGAGGCGTTTACTTCTGCAAGGACAAGATCTGGCGCGTGTACATGTACGATCCCTCCACCCAGAAACAACTCTATGGGGGCTCTTTCAGTGCCCAGCAACAAGCCGAGGCCAAGGCCCGAAAGCTGTGCAAAGAGTTGGGGGTGCGAACCAAGCGGAAGGCCCACTTTGAACCGCTGGGGACGCAGAAGGGGATCAAGTGGTACCGGGGAGGCTGGAGAGCCTGGTTCAAGATCTCCGAAAGTAAGAAGCAAATAGAGACAACGTGCGTTCCCGGTGATTTATCGACCAAGGAGGTTGAGAAGGCCTGGAAGAAGGCGGTGGCCTGGCGCAAGCAGCAGGAGAAGCAGCATCTTAAGCAGGCCAGTAAACGCTGACAGTATGGCCACGTGTGGATGTGCACGATGCGAAACGAATGCAGCAGATCTGGCCAAAACTCTGGGTTTAAGGTTTCGCAAGTAGGTACGGCTAAACCGTAGCAGACGGTCGTCCCTGTACAGTCCCAAGGTACATTAAGTATGTATGTGGTTCGAAGGTTTTTCAAGTAGGATGACACATGCGCAACACCAAGATACATAAAGAGTATACACCTTATCCCGAAACCTAGGGCCTTGAATAAACTAGCATAGTAAGCAAGGTTAAGTGGCGCGGTTATAATCATAAACCACCAACAACACCACCCCACCACCACAGATAGCAGCAGCAGCACCACCACCACCTCGACCAAAACCTCCACCACATCACCACCAAAACCACCACCAGCGCCGCCGCCACCACCACCGCCGCCACCGCCACCTCTACCACGCCACCACCACCACCGCCACCATCATCACCACCATCACCGCCACCACCACCGCCACCGCCGCCACCGCCGCCGCCACCAACACCAGCAGCAGCAGCACCAGCACCACCACCATCACCACCACTAGCAGTCACTAGCACAAGTGCCACAGCGCTGTCACCATCATGAACCAAGTGACGACCACCATCGCCACTATGATCATAATCATTAGCCTCCTAGTCTTCATTGTCCTGACCCTTATTATCCAGGTCATCGTCTTCACCAACAGCAACATGGTTGCCATCAATAGTCATCGTCATCCACAACCACCTCGTTGTCATCCTCGCAACAATAAGGGCTATCGTCACCAACATCATCATCATCATCATCAGCAGCAGCATCCGCATCTTCATCATTGTCGCCGTGATGACATCATCATGATCATCGTCGCAGTCTGCCTTCGTGGCCGTCCGACTGAGAACAACACTTCACCAAGTTTTTGCCCCTCAAGTGACATCGCTTGCTTGCGCATTCTGGCTTGTCAAGCGAGGCCTCCCCTTACCCGAACACTGATCTAGGTGGGATTTTGGGACATTTTTGATTTTCCTTAGTTGGGTTAATAAGGAACCCTAAATATAAATATGTTTCAGGGTGTTTGAAGGCCAACCCGGTGATGCCTGCCGAGACTTCAGCCGGCAGATCCGTGCAGGTCAGCCGCTAGGGCCTCCAATGACCACCTTCCCGCTTCAGGCCTCGCCTACGGTTCTAGGGCTCTTTGTGGCTTTGTTTGGATTGACTATCTTGGTCTGGAATGGAAGATGAATGCACAAGTCACAAATCAATGACTAGGAACTGATTTGCCTTCTTTGTCCGGCTGTCTGATTGCTCGCACCTCCTTCTACCAACACGTGAGAATGGGAGCAGACTAGTCATAGACACGTAGAAGAACTGACGGTTTTTGTCGCGTAGTTGCATATATGTGCATGCCCCTGTGTGTGTGTGTGTGTGTGTGTGTGTGTGTGTGTGTGTGTGTGTGTGTGTGAGTGTGTGTGTGTGTGTCAGTTTTTACCTTTAACAGCCTCACAGGCAAATACACATACATGCACTTACGTACGCATAGACAGAAACATGCACGTACATACACTAGCACTTGCAATTCATCACGGCGGCTGGCTCTTGGCTCTAAGTGGGAAGCAGGCACTTTGAGGCCTGAGTTTTGCCACACAGATCCACGGCGCAGGCAGGTGAGATCTGCTTCTACAAAAGCTCCGCTCATGGCTGGATTCCTGCGAAGGTGCCCAACCCAGCAAACTTTGTTAAGGAGACCGGTTTAGAGTTTGCTATAAGGGCCCCTTTGAGGGTTCCCCTTTGAGGGTTTCTGTAAAATGTTCCTTTAAAGGTTCCTTGAAGGGCCCCTTTTGAGGGTTCCCCTTTGAGGGTTCCTTAAAGGGTTCCTTCAAGGCTTTAAGGGTCCCAAAGGTGCAGAGCTACCGGACCGGCGAGGGAACCTGTGAGCTGGACGTGAAGCCCGGGGCCAACGCGCGGTGCCCAGAGAGGCCGTGTGACCCAGGAGTTTCAGTAGGTCTGACGGTAGAGGGTTTTAGGGGTTTGGGGATTTAAGGGTTTAGGGGTGTAGGGCTCCGGTATTTAGGGTTTAGGGGTTTTATAAGGGTTTCGCCGAAATAAGCTGGTGCTACTGAGGAGGTGTATTCTACAGCGAGGCTTTGAGGTTGACCTGGACCCCCCAACTGCCCTTTAATAGAGCCCTTATGGTCCTTAATAGAGCCCTTATGGTCCTTAATAGAGCCCTTATGGTCCTTAATAGTGAGTATTTAAGGTATGTTAGTTGGTAGTTGGGGGGGTCTAGGGATGAATGGTACTTTCGGCTTCTCCTGACTGGGACGATGACTTGAGTGGTGATGCGATCTCGGTGACGGCCATGATGATCAGGATTGTTGGATTTGATGACAGAGGAGATAGAGCTGAATGGTGATGAGTATGATTCCCAGAAGGGAGTGCTGAACAGATTCATAAGGTCGTGGTCACACTAAGGCTGACTTGTGTCAGCATGACTCGACGATGATTGTTATGACGCTTGTCTTCACGACAACGATGGTAAGGACGGATGACACTGGCAGACGTCGTTGTTGATGGTGATTCTTCTCGTGATGTGCATGGTAGTGCCTTTCATGGCGAGGTCCTTACCTCGGATGTCGAGATTGGGCCATGAGAATCTGCTCTAACTGCTACCTTCATGTTCGCTTTGAACCTTTTCAATGTCGGTGTGCATTTACGGTGGCTGATAGTTGGTGCAGCCAGTAGCTTCTGGTAACAACATCTTTGTCAGTTTTGTCGCGACTGTTCTTTTCCTGTTCATATCGAACTAGTTGCATCACACGAGTAACAAGGTGTAGTCTGTTGGCCTGTCCCGAGGTATACCCTTACAGAGTGCTGAACATGTTAAAACTGTTGGACGCCTTCCCCCGTCATGTCTTGGATGCATTAGTCATTAGTCCCTGGCATCCCGCGTGCATTCCCCATATCCGACACATCAAGTCGTCCATAATGAGCATGACAATCATCAGAACCATACTCGTAATCATAATCAGAATAGTGATAGTACTAATTAATAATGTTGGAACCCTTCATGCACGAATTTAGCCCGCCTTTGGGACATTCCCCAAGGAAAAGGCCGAACTCACTGGGGTTTTACACTTGTCATTGCTATCATTGTTGTTCTTATTATGATTACTACTACGATCATTATTCTCCCTACTGTGATGATACTGTTACCTTGATAACTACTATTGTGATTTGATGCGCCCACCACTCCTTAGAGCCAAGCTAGGTGGACAACGTGTTTCGCCTGCTGGATGGCACAGAGGTGCCTTGCTATCGCAGCGCCGTTTTTTCTGATGATAGCCTGATACTCCTCCGACCCCACCAGACGCCAAATTTGGAACTAACCCCTAATTACCAGACACCAAATGTGGAACTAACCCTACCTGGGTTTTCCTGGGGTCATGTTTTACAGATTGGGTGGGTCTGCGGGATTGAGGGACTCCGGCTTCATAGGCGCAAGGCTTCGGATTTGTACTTTTGAAGCAACCGGGGTCAAAAGATAGGGGCCTTCATAATTCCCAGTACTATTGTGGGGGTTCCTTGCTATGGTTTTAATGGGCCCCGAATCCCTATTCAATTATTAAGGCCCCTACCGCAAGCATTCGGTGGTTTTCTGGCAGTGACATACCCGGAAAGGTGAGCGCCGAACTGCCCTAAGCCCTGCCCTACTGTAGGCACTGAGCCCTACTAAACTTTAAGCTCCCCTGAACCGCCCGGGCCCGGACAGTAGCGGAGTTGGCTGGAGGTGTCGACGTGCGTCGGCCAAAAGCGAACAAGAAAGTAATTCACATTCAAGAGCTTCCCACATTGCATGGTGTTCAGACCCCGAACCCCAAGGCATTGGCTGTAGGGCTAGAAAAACATGAATTTCATGGTTAGTAAAAGCACCTTAGCCTAAATCCTAAATTAGTCCGGTTGAACGTGATCGGGATTCGGAGATCCGTACAGCACGAAGTTGTCCAAGTTTCGAGGTTTAGGGCTTCGGATTGGCGGGGCTTGTTATCTGTTCCTTCGAAGGGCACACGGCGCTGCTACCAGGGTGCTCTTGGTACTGCTCTTGGTTGTTGTCTGTTGCTTGTAACTTCCAACATTGTCGAAGGTGGTGACCAGTAGATTGCTGCTATTCATTAGGTACGGCCCCCATACAGTAAGAGTCTATAATAGGGCTACTATCAAAGTCCTAATATATCTATACTATGAATACTATTCAACTATTACTGAGTGGGGGGCCGTACCCAAGCTATTCACATTTATCAATGTTGTTCTTCCTTGTTCTGTCTCTGCTGGCATTTTGAGATCTCGTCGACTCTAAGGATGCAGGAGTCGCTTCCACTGGTTTCACATGTGGGTGGTTGTCAAAATTATGGTCCCTTTTTGTGTCCTTAGTATACTACGGCACCTCTTATTTAGGGTACCCAAAAACGGACCCTAATTTTGACAACCACGCATGTGGCTTGAGTTTAGATGCCGATTCTTGGGGCTCGGGCTTGAGCTGGGCCCAAACCGATCTCGGCCGCAGACCAACCCTTACATCCTAACCTCCAAACCCTAAACATTAAATCCTAAACCCTGAACCCTACACCCCGAACCAAGCCCAAGAAGCTGCTATGCTCCGAAGGTGGAGTATCACAGCGCGACGTCCAACAGCTGGATTGTGGCCAGGCCATCGTCGTTTCGTCCTAGCGAGCTGCCCAAGCTTGGGGTTCTCAGAAGCCGGATTATGTTTGAACAACGTTCATTTAGGGTTCCTTCTTCAAACAAACATTCTTAAACTATACTATACGGAACCCCCACAACCCCACTGTAATTATCAAGGGCCTTGTTTGGGTTGCAAATTGTGGAGATGCAGGGCTCAGTTTGCCTTGCTGGCTTGTGACTGAAGGCTATGACAGGAAGTATCCCTACCTCCTTGCCCTACCCTACCCAACCCCTACCCTACCCCTTGAAGATGAAGGGTGCTTGATAGGCTTCGACTCATGGCTAGGACATTGTGCTCGGACTGCTGCGGCTAAGACCAGGCCATTTAAAACAAACAATAGCGCAGTGCTTTGGGCGAAGTGCCAGGGTCGGCACCCATGGGCTCCAGAGTAGTTCCTTTTGGGGGTTCATATTTAGAATCCTTTAGGGTAATCCCCAAAAGGAACCATTACGGAGCCTATGGGTATCTGCTTGAATGAGGTATGTAATGGGCCTTGTAGCCAAGATTCTCTTGCAGGTCTCAGGCCCGAAGCTCTTAAACTTAATTCCTATACCCCGGACCCTAAACCCCAGCAGCCCTGTAACCCGTGAACCCAATCCGTAGGGGTGCATATACCCAAATAGTATATACTTTGGCATTAAAGTATCCCATGTCTTGGTACATTGGCCCCCAAAGTATATACTGTTTGGGTACATGGACCCTTGCCCCCCTTTGTAGAGCCCTTACAGTAGCCCTTAAAGGAACCCTTATCGGAACCCTATTTGGCTACATGGACCCTTCACCCTAAACCCTAAACCCCAAACCCTAGATAAACCCTATACCCTAAACCCTAAACCCCAAACCCATCCCCAAACCCTAGACCCCCAATAAAACCCCAAACCCTAGACCCTGCACTGGGCCAAACAATGGGTGGAGCCTATTGAGAATGGTCGAATACAGCCCATCTGGGCTGTCAAGGGCTCCGCCTCGCCGCCGGCCAGCCACAGCTGGGCCTAAAATCCACTAGAATCTTGACTCTCCCCTTGATGGGAACACCCTAAACCCACAGTCGGCAGGCATTTGGCATTTTCCGCCACCCAAAATGGGAAACCCTTTAGAGGGTCCTGGCCTCCATAGAGAACTTCCGGTTTCACCGAGCTCCCATGCCCTAGACCTAAGCCCCAAACCCCAGACCCTAAATCCCAAACCCTAAGCCCAAGACCCTAATTCCCACCCAAACCTGCTTCGGCCGTACCCCAGTATGCCCCCTTAGAACAGGCCTTTCCAGACACCGCAGTGGCCCCGGCCCCCCCCTCCCCCCCCCCTGGCCCTCTCCTCTCCCTGCCTGCCGAGCATTCACAATCAAAGAAGCGCGAGGCACAGCATACCAGGGCAGAGATGGGAATTGAGGGCGTAAGCCCCTAAACCCTAAAAGGTAACATTTTGGGTGGTGGCCTGTGTAAGCTCACAGCGGGCGGGAAAGAAACAGAAACCAATTTATAATTGTTTGGTGGTGAAATCACAGTGTAATGCTAGATGTAGATGTGCCGCCCCCCACACCCCTGGGAGTGTTGGGTCGCCATCCTACACAGAAAATACTGCCGCTGCGCGGCGAGACGCCCTAACCCCTACACCCCAAACCCTAGACCCTAAACCCTAAAACACTAAACCCTAAACCCCAAACCCTAAAACCCCAGAAGCCGTAACCCCCCGCAATGGGTCAGGCTGCTGCAGAAGGCAGCAGAGCCTGGGACTTTCGATCTCGACTGCAAGATGGCAGCAGGGCACTGAGAGGGTAGTGGTTTAGGGTTTTTAGGGTTTTTAGGGTTGTTTGGGTTTTTAGGGCTTTTAGGGTTTTTAGGGTTTAGGGGTTTTTAGGGTTTAGGGGTTTTAGGGTTTAGGATTTTTTAGGGTTTAGGGTTTTTAGGGTACAGGGTTTAGGGTATAGGGTTTAGGGTTTAGGGGTTTTAATTAGAAGTCGTATGGTTCCTGTAAAGGGCTCTGTAAGGGCTACTATAAGGGATTTGTTCATAGGGTTCTTTCAATGGTTCTATAAGGGCTACTATAAGGGATCTATAGTAGGGTTCTATGATATGGGGGCCTTAATATTGAGAATAGGGTTTTGGGTTTAATGTTTAGAGTGCTGAATAGGGCTACAGGCGTCTATAAGCAGTTTAGAATAGGGGCCTTAATAATCAGAATGAAAGGGTTCTTTAAATGGTTCTATAAGGGATCTATGAGGGTTCTACAATATCGGGGCTTTGATAACACCCCCAAGACCCTCTCGTTTTTCAGGTCCCTACAGTACAGTGCCGGCGGATTGTTGGGTTCTTGTCGTCGTCATTGCCATTAGTGCGGTTACTATTGTTGTGCGTCTATTGCTGATTCGTTTCTGACTATCCGCGAGGGGCCTCGGGGCGATAGTTTGGGTGTAGGCTCCAGTGGATGAGAACTAGTTGATTATATAACTGTTGAGATTCAGCTCAAGGTGACTCAAGGTGTAGATTTTAGGCTCAGGGTCCCATGGAGTTAGATCTCCTCAAGAAGAATGCGTTGAGGGCTGATCAAGGCAAGCTTGCTGTCATCAACAACCCTGCCACAAAACCTTATAAATCCGTTCTGAAGCACAGAAGAACTCTTTAGACCATCTCTCAACAACTCTGGTCGAGGAATAGAGAAAAGTGCCCAAAACGCCCCCCCCCCCTCTAAAGCCCTAAACCATCCTAAACCCTAAACCCTCACATCCACTGTGGCCCTTCCCCAAAAGGTCCCGATCACGAAGATCCGACCGCCTCCGGATGCTACTGGAGGTGCCTTTGAGTCGTTGTTCGGGCTAAAAAGGGTCCTATCAGGGCTACTATAAGGGGTATTATGGGGGGTGTAATATGGCAGCATAAATAATTGCCTATACTATTTTTGTTGGGGGTTCCTTGTTGTAACCATAGTTCAACGGGCACCCAAACCCTATTCCAATCATTCAGGTTATAAGTATGGCACGCGATATTGGAATAGTCTCAAGTGTGTGCCGTTATCATATATGTAAGGTGATAGTGAGAAGAGGCAGACACACACACACACATATATATATATATATATACTTATATATATATACACATATACATATACATATACATATACATATACATATAAATATACATATACATATACATATACATATACATACATATATATATATATATATACCATTGTCATCACCCACAGGAAGCTTCAGTCGAATCGCTTGGCCTTCGTTGTGGGCGTTTTTTAAAAATGAACCAAAGCCGGTGGAGATGTGCTTATTGTCGTAGTGGATCAACTGATGTGGGACTTGTCTGAAACTTGGAGGTTCATGGGTAGTTACAAGTGGGGTTTTAAGTAGGGTAACTATAAGTACAACCCATAGTAGGGGGCTTATAACTCCAATTATGACTACCCATGAACCTCCAAGAAGAGCTTTCATGCAATCCCATAAAACCTGAAGACCCTGATCTGAACTGATCCAGATCTGAACTGAACAACTGGGGTTTAGGGAGTCAGGGGTTTCGTAATGTTCTACTTGGAGGTTCATGGGCAGTTATAAGTGGGGTTATAAGTAGGGTAACTATAGTTATAATCCATATTAGGGGACTTATAACCCCACTTACAACTACCCATGAACCTCCAAGTACTAGGGTTTCGGATTCAGGGTTGGGGTTTTCATTTATATGTAGCATGAGTCCACCTGAACCACTGAGCCTCGCATGTATTCAGGTGCTTGAGACCTCTTTTTCCTGGTTGCTGCTGCCATGTTAGATAGCGTAATCACACATGGCCCTGCAGCTGCATGTCTGTACTCTTCTAGGACTGCAGCCCGCGGCAAAGCACAAGTCCCGCGGCGGTGCGGCAGGGGCAGCTCGCTGGCAAGATCGTGTCTTCTGGATTCGGGGGCTTTGGGTTTCCCAGGCCCTGAGCCCCAAACCTAAAGCTGCGAACCGCTAAACCCTAAACAATCCTGAGCCCATCTGAACCCTAATAAGGTTCGAGCTTTAGAAATACAGCTAGCCCTGAATCTGCTTGAGAGTTGATTCGCATTTCTTGGACTAGGCCTTCCCGACTCCATAAACCCAGACTTCCCGTAACATCTCTGTGCCATCTTGAAAGCAATCCAAGTCAACTTCAAGATCCAATCTGAGTTCGAATGTTCGACTTCCCGTTATTTGACGCGACTTTGGGTCTCCGGCATAGTTTGCTCGACATACCGCGCTTGCCGGGCAAAATCTGTAATGTCCTGAACACGACATGCCCCGCGACAAGCACGCTGGCACGTAGCAACTACCAGAGAGTCCCGCAAACCTTGCTCTCTCATTCCTCAATGAGACGTCGCTTTTGTCTGCGCAGAGCCGTCGGAGGCTACAACAGGCTTCTTCGACTGGTGGGGTGGCAGGGCAGAAGGAGCGATTTGCACTGCGGGGTTCTTCGTCTGACTTCGTCTTCGATTTAGGGTTTAGAGCGCACTTGGGCAGGAGGCTCAGGGCCTGTCATTATACAGACGAGCTGCAAGTGTCCTGGAGGCCCGAGACTCCGAGGGACCTACTATAGGTGCCTTAACGTTTACCTACACTATGTTGGCGGGTTCCTTATCATGATTATAGTATGATGGGCAGCAAAACCCTATTTTAACTATTAAGGCTACTATATTAGCCTTATCACAGGTACCGTTGTGTTTGCCATTTCCATGGCCTTGTTGTCACCACCACGTCATCGCCGTCGCTGTCGTCACTGTTTTTTGTCATCACTGAATCAACATCATCGTCTTCTGCATCTTCATGACCATGATCATCAAGCCCCCTTTCAGCATCTTCACCATTGTCTCGACTGTCACGGTTCTGCTCCTCCTCTTCCTGCTTCTTCTCATCATCAACTTGGAAGGGCACGGGACTTAGTAAGTAGGTGATAAGTAGAGTTATAAGTACCCTAAATGGAGTTATCCCAATTATAACCCTACTTATAACCTACTTACTAAGTCCCCTGCCCTTCCAAGAACATCATCACTCCGGAGTTTTCACTGTCCTGCAGCCCTCCTCGTGCGCAGAACCACCCATGGACAAGGGCAAGGGCAAAGATGGCAAGGGCAAGGGCAAAGACGATATGGGCAAGGGCAAAGGCTACGAAGGCGCACCCTTAAACCTGCCTGGCACTGATGTTTCTTGGCTTTGAGGACGTGCTTCTGCAGGATCAACCTCAATAGATTTCTGGCCAAACGCCGCATAGTTCGGCCTCACTGCTCAAAGTCGTTCCTTACTGTGTATTCGCAAGCTTCGGGACTCTGTCGCACTTCAGCCGTAGTCAGATCAAACGCCTTCTGCAGTTTGCAGTAGAGAGACGGCTGTGAGTTTGATTTGCACAGGTTTTACAGGATACCCCGTAATCCCTTTATGTGTACTACCCAAATATACAACAGCCCTCCCATACGGCCAGATGTTGAGGACAGAGGAGGGCCGTTAACCCGAAGGAAGCACGGAGCCCTTACCAACCGGCCTTACAGTAGAAGCCAGAAAGTTGGAATATCATTATCGTAACCCCTTTAAGGTAACTTATAGGGAATCCTACCATTAATCCATATTCCAGCTTTCTGGAGTTCCTTTTATCCCCTGCTGAGCCCAGAGCTTTTCGAGGCTGCCTGACTTCCGAGTCGGAAACCACGAAAGCTACGATCGTGACCCTGGTAGTCATCCTGCCCAAAACTTGCCCTAAACCCTAAACCCTAAACCCTATAACCCTATAAACCCTAACCCCTAAACCCCTAAACCCTAAACTCTTAGCCCTCTGCACAGGAAGCCTCTTGCCAAGCCTCCCGAACTTTCACACCGACCAATCAATCCCCAATGTCTGCCTGGCCAGGCACCTTCGTTCCAAGCCCGGCTTCGCACTGAGGAGATGGGAGTTTCCGAAAATTTGGGGTACCTTGCTGTGGGGTCCTTATAATAAGGATCCTACTATTTAGGGTGCTGGGGTCCCCTATTTTCGGAAACTCTCATATTGGAGTTCATGGTCGTGGGTTTCCGGATCTGGTATAGCTTTGGCTGGAATGTCTCGTGCCCAGGGAGTTGGGCATGTTTGTTGTTTACATCGTTGTTTTCTGCTTTGAGATTTTCAGTGCCGTTATCTTAGAGATCTTTCGGTATTGTCTCAAACGCATCCCTATATAGGTCAGTACATGTTAAAGTTGAAGCTCATGCCAGTCCGTCAAAAACGAGTGTAATGAACTATTCAGGTGTCCGTGTGTGTGTGTGTGCGCAGTGTTGTGTGTATGTATGTAACTCACACACACACACATGGATGTATATATATATATATATATATATATACATGTGTGTACACATACCCATACACTCACATACGTACGTACATCCATACATACATTTATGCATGCATACGTAAATACATACCTTAGTAGCTGTTTGAGTGTACTTTACACCGTTTGGGCTCATGAACTCAGTAACTAAGATCAAGATGTACATGTGCATACATGAATATGTGATTATGTGTGTAGATATATATACATACATATATATAAACAGGTGTGTTCATACTTATTTCATTTGTGAATTTCGTTATTACTTTCCTTGTTTTACATGTTTATTCAGAGGCCTATATCTACATATACATTATATGTACTCATACATATACAGACCTACCTACCTACATACGTACATACATACATCCATACACGGTTCATTCATACATACATACATACATACCTACATACATTCATACTTAAGTACATAAGTATACACATTGTTTGCGTAGCATTGAAAACGAGGCGTCGAAGCTCTTCGTGGCTTGTGAGGCTTGAGCGAGAGCTGTGACGAAGGTTCAGCCCTGATTGCACAACATGAGGTTTTGGGCTCTGTGTCCCGTAACGAAGGCAAAGACTCCTTGTCCCCAAACTCTGCTCTACAGAAGAGCTCGGCGTACTTCCGTGGTCAGCACGCCCTCCGACACCTTCGCAATTCAGGCTGGTGGAACAACGGCCGACGTCCGGCAGGGGCAAGGAGATTGGGGAATGCCCCCAACCTAGCTTTCACGCAGTATTGCTGCTTATTTCAGATCATTTCATCTTTATTTCTGCTACTACGGACTATTGTACCGTACCCTTGATCAGTGTTGCCATGAGTTGGCACTGGTGTTCCTACTGCTAACATTGAGTCGTCAAGTTAACTACTTGATAACAGAGCCGGGGGGGGGCAGCCGTTTTAATCCATCTTCTGCAGCTTAAGTGCTCTCACAATTCACAATTGATATTGCGAGTGGTAACAGCAAGTAGTAGCACCAGTCCTTTTCCGCGGTGGTGCTCGCCGGTACTACTCCTTATCATAGCAATAACTTGACACGGATTGTCAATACTACTCTAGTGCTGCACTTCAAGGCTCTGGCACTGCGACAGGCACAGGTCTGTAAGAGGTTCAACAATCGCACGCTGAGGTTCGGAGGCTATGGATGGGGAGGTGCACCTCGCAAGGCGGGTGGCTTCGAACGAGCAATAGTAGTAGCAGTAGCAGTAGAAGAAGAAGAAGTAGCAGCAGCACGGTAGCAGTGGACGAAGAAGAAGAGGAAGTATATACAATACTACTAGCACCAGACCTAACATGAATCACGAGCTGCATAGTTGAATCGTTGGAAAGTCTTCACCGAATTTGCTTTGTGCAGCCAAATGCCTCTCATGCCGCGTGTGATGTTTCAAGCTGGAGTCGTCCTTTGTAGTAGGCTGGGCTAACGGCTGGCCGTGATTTTGATGTTGGCGACGGTGATGGTGATAACCAGCACCACAAGAAACTCCATTCCCCAAGCAGCTCCATGAGTTTGCTTGCCGACTGGCTCAGGTCATGAAATGCATGTTTGGGTTTTGTGCTTGTATAATTGATGGCTAAGTAAGCAAAGGTCTACGTGTGCTTATTCCAAGAACAGAAGGACTTGTGCCCCAAAGGATAGTTCGGATAGTTGCATACCAAAGCTGTTTCTGCTGAGGCTTTGGATGTTGGCTACATTCGTGGCTTTGCCCCCTTAGCCATGGCCAAAGAGGAGCTGGAAGAGTGGGCTGGGCCGATAGGAAATGCTAAGAGGCTGTGCAGCCAGAAAAGCCCGGATATCTCACTTGGATCTTTCCAGTCGCGACTGGCAGAGTGGGGCGAGCAATGTCTTAGATTTCAATCCTCTGGCGGGACGTGGGTGCCCACGAAGCCCTGCTGTCCGGCGAGCCCCTTTCTGGGGTTAGAAGCTTGTCTTTGGCAAGGCTGCAAGAAGCACGTGCCGATGCCATGTGTAAAACTCCTCAGCATAAAGGAAGTGCTTGAGCTGTATGAGTTCTTCCGTGAAAACCCACACCATGACATTTTCGAAGACCAACCGGCGGCCGCTGCCGGATCTGATCCACGGCTCGATGTGCGGCCCTGGATGCGGGATGTTCCCGCACGAGTTTGGGCCGGCAGTGACTATCTACTCCACGGGCACGGCATGCTGCAGCTCTCCACGACCTCGTGTGGCTCCGCTGCGCAGTGCCACGAGGGCTCCATCACTAATCCCGGCGGAAGGCATTCAGAGTCAGTGGTCGAGCCAAGACCGGGCGGCAAGGCTCCTAAAAGGCAAAGGGTTGTGCAACCCAGGAATACAGCCACCAAGATTCTTGGTGGCTGTATTCATGGGTTGCACAACCCTTTGCCCAGAAGAGAGGCCGTGGGGGTACGAGCAAGGTGAAAGAGAAAGCCGAGGCCCAGAAGCTCAAGAGGAAGAAGGTCACAGCGAGAGCCAAAGCCCACAAGCTGGCCAAGAAGTCTGAGCGGAAGACAGCTCCCCTCTCCGCCGTGAGAGGCGTCTATTTCGTCAAGGACAACATCTGGATTGTGTCCATGTACAACCCCTCCACCCAGAAACAACTCTATGGGGGCTCTTTCAAGAACCAGCGGGAAGCCGAGGCCAGGGCGCGAAAGCTGGGCAAAGAGTTGGGGACGCCAATCAGGCGCAAGCTCCTCACAACAGTCCGCCACTTTCAGCCGCTGGGAACACAGAAGGGGATCACGTGGTACGAGGGATGCTGGCAAGCCCAGCTCTGGGTGTCCGAAAGTAAGAAGCATCTCAACGCGAGGTTCACCCCCGATGATTTCTCAACCAAGGAGGTGGAGAAGGCCTGGAAGAAGGCAGTGGCCTGGCGCAAGCAGCAGGAGAAGCAGCATCTTAAGCAGGCCAGTAAGAGCTGACATTATGGCCACGTGTGGATGTGCACGATGCGAGACAAACGCAACAGCTCTGGCCAAGACTGTGGGTTTAATATAATTGGGCCGCCTTAATAATCAGAATCGGATTAGGGAGCCTGTTATACTATACTTACAATAAGGAACACCCAAAATAGTATTGGTAACTATTTAGGCCCCTATAGTAAGGTTTAGGGAGCAATTACGTTGAATTAGTAGCACTGCAGCACTCGCACAAGATGAGGACTAGCAGATACACCCTCCTGCAAATTCTACTGATGCTCGTGGTCATGCTTGATTAACCAGAATGCGCGTAAGCAGGTGATGTCGCTTGAGAAGCAAAACTTGTTGCATTGTTGTTCCTAGTGGGACGGCCACGACAATGGCAACAGGCAAGCGTCGATGATGGGCATGATGACGTCATCAGAGGATAGTAATTACAGTAATGATGAAGAACATGATGACCATGATTATCACGATGATGATGATGATGATGGTGGTGAGGGGAATGGCATTACTGTGACGAGAATGATAACGAGGTGGCTGTGAATGACAATGATCAGGATACATCTACATTGATGGCAATGGGATCGGTTGATGCTGATGTGAGGACGATGACCAGGCCAACGACAAGACGGTTCAGGATAATCAAGAAGAGAGACTGATGATATGATTGCGATGGCATTGGCAGTCGTGCAGCAGTGGTGGTGGTGGTGGTGGTGGTGGTGGTGGTGGTGGTGGTGGTGGTGGTGGTGGTGGTGGTGGTGGTGGTGGTGGTGGTGTGTGATTCTGCTGCGGCTGGTGTTTGTGGTGGTGGGGTGGTGTGCTGTTGCTGGTGCTGGTGCTGTTGCGGGTACTGCTTCTGGTGCTGATGATGTTGGTCCTGCTGCTGCTGCCCTTGCTGCTGGTGCTGGTGGTGGGATTAAATTTAGGGTACTCTCGTGACCATTCTTTGCACTCGCGAGGCCTCTTTGTGGCGCTACTGCCCACAGGACGGCCGACACTTGGACATCCGGACGGCCCCCCAGAGCTTTCTGGGTTCTGTATCCCCGGATGTCGCCCCAAAAAACACACAGGAAGACCAAGCCTATATCGGCTCATGCCTGCAAGCACAAAGTCCTCTCTAGACTCTAGACTGTAAATCCTGAATCCTGACACTACTTGGAGGTTCATGGGTAGTTATAGGTAGGGTTATAAGTAGGATAACTATACTTAAAACCAATATATTAGGGGACTTATAACCCCACTTAGACCTACCCATGAACCTCCAAGTACATCTCTGCTCCTTGGCATCAGACTCGAGGGGGATGCTCAGCTCTTCCTGCACGTCTTAACGGGCCGCCGGCTATCGGCACTGCACTAGGACCTAGAGTAGGCCCTTACTCCCTTTCTTAGGGTTCAGGTTACCTTATAAGCCCTTTTTGACCAAAAAGTGCACCCTTTTTATTCCTAGGTTACTCGAATAAGGTCTAGGGCATGGTGATCGTGACGATTGCCACGTCAGTGATGGTGGTCATATCATCGACTATCTCCAGTACTGCGGCTAACGATATGTTTTGTCTGAAGGCCCTGAACCCGAAGCCCTGAGACCTCAAACCACAACTGCCTAAACCGAAACTTCCGCACTATCCTAAACCCAAAGCCCTAAACAAGAATTCCAACCCTGAACCCGGACAAAACCCTAAACCCTAAAGAACAACACCGAACCCAGGTCCGAGCCCAACGTCGATGGCGGCCGCTCTTTGCATTGTTTGGGTGCCGGCGACATCTTCTGTCCGGCTCTCGGCCCCGCAGCGATGTGATACTGTACTGCTGTGACACTTTGCTATAATACTATGCTTTGTAATATAGGGGCCTAGATAATTACCAATACTATTTTGGGGTTCGTTGTTATAAGTATAGTAGAATGGGCCCCAAACCTGTATTCTGATTATTAAGGCCTTTACATGACAACATTATAGTATCTTATATTGTGTGACATAGTTTGAAATTCCTATCTTACTTCTTATTATGTCGCTCACAGGAAGGAGCCTGGGGCGTAGGAATGGGTAGGGATTGAGGACGACAGACATGTTCGTGTACCAGCAGTGGCATACAGAATGTCAACCGTGCGAAGGTTACCAAGGTGAACAATTGCAAGTCGTATTGGTTCGTCCTATAATCAAGTAGTACAATGCTATATATGTCTATATGTATATATATATGTGTATATATAGTATACAGTATCTAGCTGTATACTGGGATATAGTATGGTTTGATGTGAAGGTATAAAGCAAAGATATCACTTTTGTAATGTATCGTGCAGGAAAAGAATAGCATGGTACAATATGTATGTGGCAATACGGGATATTGAACTAAACTGTCATGTAAGTACTGACAGGCCAAAACGAGCATACTATGCTGCAGTACCCTATAGGACACTTTATTGCACCATGCGTAAGTGTAACATGATACTGTCAAGCCTGCTAGACTGTAATGTTTGTTATAAGGTATAAAACGACATGGCATGACCGCCCAACTTGGTATAGAGCTGCTCGGAGAAGAACAGGACTGAGCAGAACAGGCTAGTATCGACTGTTATAAAGTCATACAATACTGTCCAGCAGAATGTGATACCGTATAACGCCATGCAGTGCAACATAGCAAAGTACAGGACGTTGTTGCTCAATTTTTGTGTTCGCCCGAACACCCTAACGCTAAACTGTTCAGCTTTTTTTGCCGGGGCAAAGGTGGAGGCAACGAGTTAAGGATTCCATAATGTGACCTCAGTCCTATAAGGGATCTATGAGGGTTCAATAAAAGGATTAAGGGTTTAGAGAAAGGGTGCAAGTAAAAGTATAGTAATGTGTAGTATATACTTTTGGGCAAATACCTACTAAGTAAGTACTATAATGGTACTTGGACCCTTTGGGAATGTGAGCTTTGTTTAGGGTTCAAGGTTTGGGGTTTGGGTATCGGGGTTGTGGGGTTTTCGGGGTTTGTTTGTTTTTTTTTTTAGGGTTTCAGGTTTGGGTTTAGGGCTGAATTGAGGGGTGTATACAGAATTTCCACGAGTCCACGAAGAAACTGATGAAAGGTATGGGGTTTAGGGCATGTGGAGTCTCAGCACTGTAGGGTTCAACGAGGCAGAACTCAGAGACAAGCTGGGGTTGGTATGGTTTTCAGATGGGGCTGTCAATGTCAGTGCGTCGTGACTGCAAGCAGATTTGGATTCATGAACTTCAGAGCTCGGGATCGCAAGTTGTGATGACTCGTTTCAGAAAGGCAGTTTCTTGGCAGACAAGCATGCCACTTGTTAGGAGCTGCCCCCACCCTGTAATAGTGACCATAAGGATTATATTGGGGACTATTAGGGCCCTATTATATTCCTATTATACCACTATTACAGGGCGGGGGCCCCTTCTAAGCCACTTGCTACATGTCTCATAAATGTCAAAGCATCTGCCTTCTGTGGCATACGACACATTCGCTAAGCAAAACTCCTTCGCTATGCCTCGGCGGCCGAGGTGTGAGTCAAGAGAAACCAGGCCCGTTGGCGTGACAGCGTGACTCGTGTCTGCCATTGGTTTCCAAGCCTGCAGTCCACGCATAATTCGTTTCGCTTTGATGCTGTTGTCAGTATCAAAGGTCGGTCGCAAAAAATGTTCTATGTGGTAAGTCAGGTATCCTAGCCGCGTGTCGATGTTTTGAAGGCATCGAATGTATTACGTTGTTTTCCCAGCCTTGTGCGGCACCAGGCTCCTTCAAGCCCGTTCGGACTAGTTTGGGCCATGTGTGCCCGAAGGCGCTGTAGAATGTAACAAAGCCCCGAGCTCGCAATGTGTTAACGATATTTGGGACTCAGGGCTGTTGAGGGTTCAGGGGTTCGCGATGCTCCTTGGTTGCAGGTGTATTCAGGGTTCGCGTTGCTCCAGGTCAACGTGCGCTTTTTACACGGGAGCTTCAGGAAGCAAGAACCCCTTGTCAGCATTGACCACAAAGAGTCGCACACCCTAAACTCTAAACCCTGAACCCTGAACCTCCAAACCCTGAACCCTAAAACAAGATTCACGCTGCTCGTGCAAAGATGCGATGCCTGCGACATCCCTTGGGGTCCTCTTCAACCCAGCTCTTTGCAGGAGGTCGCAATTTCTAATGTTTGTCGGTTAAGGTTCAGGTTTAGGGATATTGTTGTATATGTACGTTTACCATCGTTTCCCTATATGTATGTATGTATATATACATATATATATACATATATATATACATATATACATATATACATATATATATATATATATATATATATATATATATATACTTTTTTTACAACCAACCCCTGCAAAAAAGCCCCAATGATAGAATACCCAGAGTTTCCGTGTTAGGCCCACAAGGGGTGCTTTACCTGGAGCTTGCTGATGGTCGCGGCTGGGCCTGGACCTCGCCTAGTGTAATTTTAGCTGGGACTTTCGGACTTGGTGACAACTGGTGGTTGTTAATATAGGGGCCTTAAGAATTAGAATAGGGTTTCGGGGCCCAGTATACTATAGTTGTAGTAAGGAACCCCAAAATAGTAGTGGTAATTATTTAGGCCCCTACATTGCGACTTCGGGGGCGGTGTCAGCGGACCTGGGGCCACCATGGCGTTAAGGCTCTTTGCGTTTAGGGTTTAGGGTTTAGGGTTTAGGGTTTAGGGTTTAGGGCAACTCCGGGACTGCCTCATTTCACTCTGGGAGTTTGAGGATCGTTCGACTGTGTACCCAGCATTTGTAATATTCTGAACCCAACCGTGCGCAACTTCGCTTCGGAGTTTAGGGCTCTGGTAGTATGTGGGCCTTAGGACCTTAGGAATTCCTGAAGGTTTGTGGGGTACATTATACATTATAGCAAAAATGCAGAGGGACTAGATATATGCAGCACCAGGACTCGGCAATCGGCCAAGGTTTCTGAAGGTAACTAGGGTGTGGACATATGAATTTCCACGATCGATAGTATTGTTATTACTACTGTTATTGTTTCTATTACTATTACTAATTGTTTGACGGCTCAACAGATCTCCGAGGGCCGTGCAAAGCAAAACGCGGTTTTACTGGAAATGCCACGAGATTTCTCGAGACAGGAATAGGATTTAGGGGGTTTAGGTTTTAGGGTTTAGGGTTTAGGGTTTAGACCTCAGGGCATCCTGGCAGCCGTATCCACTCGCAGACCAACTTGTTTCACCCTCCAGGCTTCTGCAACTCAACACTTGTTGATCCCAACGAACACTGTGGTTCAAGATGCTCAGGTCTTTGACCACAAGCCCGGATTTGGGAAGATGTGCGAGAAGTACACTGTGGAGGAGGTTCCGGATATATTCTTCCGTATGCATTACATGATTACATTGTCTAAGTTTTTGTGTTGTTATAAATCGTCATTCGTTTCAAGGCCGACTCGAGAATCTGAAGCCCGTGCACCTTTTGGGTTTGGTGTTCAGGTGTTCTGGGTTTTTGGTCTTGCCTTCATCTCGAAGCCAGGAAGCGCTTGTATACGCGTGCAGGACGATACCCCTGGGGCCTACGCTGTCATCCACGAGCGCCTCGAGGTGACGAAGAATAGGCGGAGACCCTGCCATATGTACATAATATATACATATATATATATATATATATCTATCTATCTATCTATCTACCTATCTATATATATACACACATGTAATATTGGGCTACATGTTGGGTTCAGCCTTCAGTAGGTTTCGGGGCTGATGGGATTTCCGATGATAGGTTGCGCTGCTCTGGGACGGATGGGTAGATCTCAGTTGCTGAATCCGTGTGCACGCTTCGAGTACGAGAGCTTAGGGTTTAGAGCACGAGGCACACCTGAAAGTCTGATAGCCTCCTCTTTATTGTCACCGTGCTTCGCCCTTAAGCTGCTAACTTGTTGCACGTCGTCCTGCTGCTTGTTTCAGAATCCTTTTCCAAGTGTTACAGCATATAACCTAACCCGAAGCCTTGAATATTTTATGGACGGAGGGTGCAGGGTTGAAGATGCTGGCTTGACTGCGCGAGCCGACAGGTTCAATACTATAGACTTACATATAGGATGGCAGTGACCGCTATTGGGAGTTCCAAATCCGCAGCCCTGTAGGCGATACGAAATCCTCAAGAGCTCTACATGCTAAACTCCCGAAGCCCTAGAAGCTAAACTTTGAACCCCTCACCCTTCTGGCCTAAACCTGTACTCGTCAGCTTTCAAGCATCGCACACGGAATCCATCGAAGGGCTTCGGTGGGCGGCGACACAGTTGGAAAGCTCACTGCTGGGACCACCATTCAAATCCTGGAGGTGGCTCTGCGGGGTTTCGGGTTTGAGGTTTAGGGGGTTTAGGTTTTGGGGGGGCGATGCATCGAACTACAAACCAGTGTATCTGTGTAGCCATCTACCTGTTGTTTATGTATACAAGGCTGGCTTGCTCATTTCGGCATCTGCCAAGTCTTTTATACGGTTGTGTCGTGCTAGGACAGAAAACGGCATATACATACGTATGTGTATTGCTCCATATTGCCCACGCACTCATATACAGCTACCTGATTTCGGATGCATAACGCACATGACGTTGATCTTGGTTGTGTTGAGGTGCCCCTCGGTCAGGTTACTTTAAGTTGTTGTCGTGCATAGTAATTAGAAGCACCTATACGTGCACTGCTGCTTGGTACACTATTTTACATATACTACTCTTTGGAGCAACATATAGGAGCTTAAATGTCTGTATATATACATCCGAGCATACATGTACATATGCATATGTAAATATAAACACTATATATACTCACATACTCTTGCGTAAATACATACTCATGTGTACATCCATCCATATGTGTACACACATACATGCGAGGAGATGCACACAGTCACATACCAACATACCTGCATACCGACGGTATGTGCGCATATTTGATGGTATGTCAGTTCGTTGAAGACTTTACGTGCCAGCATTGGGACACAACAGCAACTAGGGCTACAATTAGGGTAACTAGACTTATAAACCCAATTAAGGTATTCATAACCTTACTTACTAAGTCCCATGATCCTCCAGCAGCTTCTTTTTCAGAAGGCTGAATGTTCAGCCTTTCGGTTTGAGGGCGGCGATCTTACACCACTACCCAGAGGCTCCATTGTGGCTCTTTTTTGGGATTACCTTATAGGGTTCTATATATGAGCCCCAAAAAGCAACTACTTTGGAGCCTCAGGGTAGCAACCGCCATATTCTGTAAGTTTCTTGCTTGCCTGCTTCTAGACATCAGTACAAGCCCCAAACAACTCAACCTGGGAATTGAAATCCTAAAACTAAGCTCTAGCCAGCCGCACATGTGGCCCCGCCCAAAACCCTAAACCCCAAACCCCAAACCCTAAACCCCAAACCCTAAACCCAAACCCTAAACCCCAAACCCCAAACCCTAAACTAAACCCTAAACCACGAAGGTTTAGGCTTTAGGGTTTTGGGCTTAGGTGTAGGGTTTTGGGTTCAGGGTTTAGCCTCCGGAACTTTGGACTTGACGGCGTCACCTAAAAATCCTAAGTGACTCTACATCCCAGGCCCTAAAACACCAGAAATATCAGCTCAAAGGCTTCTCCCTAAACCCCCAAACCCTAAACCCTAAAACCCAAAACCCAAAACCCACAAACCCCTAAACCCTAAAACCCTAAACCCACAAACCCCGAAACCCTAAACCCTAAAACCCTAAACCCAAAACCCCTAAACCCCTAAACCTGCAGGTCGCCCAAATCAGCGAGCAGAGTCGGGCCGTTGTCTCGGGGGTGTCGGCTGAAACGGAGTGCTAGAAAGGGTTCTTCTATATTTAATGTTTAGGGTTTGGGGTTTAGGGTTTAGTGTTTGGGTTTAGGGTTTGGGGTTTAGGGTTTGGCTAGAAAAGGTTCTTCTGTATGGGGGGTTTCCGAAAATTGGGGACCCTAATATAGTACCCTAAATAGTAGGATCCTTATTATAAGGACCCTTAAATAAGGTACTCCTATTTTCGGAAGCTCCCATATTTCATGCTTAGGGTTTAGGGTATGGTACTGTAGGGGCTCTCTATAGGCACGACAAGAGTTAGCACTATAAGGGCCACTTCAAGGTTTAGGGGCTTGGGGTGCTGCCCTGCGACCTTCTTCGTCACTGGTCTTAGTGCGTAGGGTTTAGGGTTGCCCCACGACCTTCTTAGTCTTAGGTTGGCTGAAGGCCTTTGGTTCTAGTTTGGGCTGCCTTGCATGTCTATTTCCAGTTATAGCTTCACCTATCTGCATTATCGTTTCTCGCTTCTCCCGGACTCGGCCCTAAACCCCTGAGCCCCCAAACCCCCAGGCCTTGCCCGATACTCTCAACCCCTGCAGCCGAGGTACGAGGTCGCCTAGACTCCCCACAAGGCCAGCAGTGCTGGTGCCATGTAGGCTGCTTGTTTTTTTTGTTCGGGGCTCATGGGCAGCTCTTCTTCCGGATTCAGGTCAGGGTTTAGGGTTTAGTGTGTTGTGTTTTCCAATTATCTTTCTGTATAGGTATACAAACCTGCATGTTCGGTACAAACATACGGAGTATTCGCATGAAGGGCCCTGATAACCCGAACCCCTAAACGTGAGGCTGGATCACTCTCTTCGATGGCTCCACGGGCCTGCGCCACGCTGTCAAATCGAGGCCGGGCTCAAGACACTTGAATGTAACAAAACTAGCAGTCCTTAATGGTTAAACTCAACACCCTTTTCCAACTGACGAGGCTCCTATGTATTGAATATGGAGGTCTGAATAATTCGTAGTCCCTCGTGATCCCTCTATTATGTTCTAGCTGTCCCTCAAAGCCCTGTTCGAGTCATGAAGAGACCCCTATATTGTCATCACTATCACTATTACCACTATTAAGTATAATTATTGTTATTCTTATGTTTATGACGATGATGATGATGACTATACCTAGTAGTAGAGTACGTACTTGGGTAGTATAGCCCCTATATAATCCCTATATAACCAAAAACGTTAACCTTTAGTTCCCCATATACCGGACAAGTAGGTATCATTATGCAACCACTATTATTACAGTAAACCCCATAAAATTGGAAACCGGATTAAGGCCAAATAGTGCTAGGATTCCTTGTACATTATGCTTAAGGATTGAGGCTATGAGGTTTCCAACTTTGGGGCTTCTACTGTAGCCCCTAAACCCTAAACCCTAAATGGTACCCTTATACCCTTAGAGTAGCCCTTTAAAGGAACCCTAAATAGTACCCTTATACCCTTATAGTAGCCCTTTAAAGGAACCCTAAGGTACCCCTAGTTTCGGAACCTCCCCTTATGCAAACCTCCGATCTGGGTGAACGGCGCTTCCCTGCAGGAAGCCTCCGGTGCTGTCCTCAGGGGGATTTTGGACGGTCGAGCAACGAGAAAGAAAGGGTTCTGAAAGCATTGATTACCAATACTATTGTGGGGGTTCCGTATTCTAAATATACGTAGTATAATGGGCCCCAAAACCCTATTCTAATTATTAAGTCCCCTAGAGTATTTCAGGGAGGCTTTCCGAGCTTTTGTTTGTGCGCCTGCCCGTGCTGTGCGGTGCAGTGCTGTGCTACACTGGCTTAGGCTTCCCGCTTCGTGAGTCTCGCACGCTTTTTTGAGACTGTCTAGACATTGCCTGCAAGCTCTCGACGAGCACTCCCAGGCACGCGCGGAGCGGAACGCATGCAGCGTTTGGGGACGATAGGTTCCGAGCTCAGTCCGGCGCTTCCATGGAACAATCATTGTTTGGTCACTGCGCCGATTTGACGAAATTATGGTGTCTGTCCTGCTGTTGATGTTGTTGATGCTGATGGTGCTGATCGTGCTGATGATGCTGCTGATGACACGAATCCTGGCAGAAATCTAGCCATCCGCTTGGGGTCCTTTTGTCGAGAGCATCTTGCTTGATATTTTTTGCCCCGAGCTCGAACACGCTGAAAGAAACCCTGAACCGTCGCTTGTCGGCTATACGCTTCTCATGCTTCTTTGCACTGCATACGTGCTGCAACCTAAATCGACCCGCGTTGCTGTGCGTTCACCCCCCCCCCCCCTCCCAATCCAAACCGCCGTCGATGTGCCTTGATGCCCCGGGTGCACCCAGCTCGCATTGCTTCTTCAGCAATTGATACCATCGAGGGGCGTTCGGCCATTACCTTGAACACGTAGTCAGTTTCGCAAGGGGTCATGGGGCTTGCATGTCCTCCGTCGGCCCACCTTTCGATTAGGCAAGATTCTGGGCTGGTGAGATGTCTGCTCCAGAGACCCTAGACTCCTTCCAAACGAGCCCTGAACGTGAAATTACTGACAGATCCTGATTGCATGGGCCCGTCATATCTTAGCCGAGACTTCGCGTGTTTGACAGGGTTTCTTGGACAGGGTGTCTGACCTTTGTGCATGTCGTAACTGTCTTGTCAGACTGGGTCCAAGTTACACAAAGAGCAGTACGCTGAACATTGCTGCCGACAGTTCTGGGAACCTCGGTTAATCGTCGGTAATATAACATAGAAGGACCTTGGAACTATCTCCACCCGCCCATGGTGAAGCTGATCAGTTGTGGTACTAAGCACGAGTCCAAGCAGTGCTATTATTCTCGTAATTTCGCTTCCTGGCTGTTCCCTTGTGTTGCTATTGCAAGTGACAGTGCGTTTTCTGCTAGCTGCAGCTGTGTACATGGTTAAGAGATGTCAAGAGTCTTCTGACCATAATTGGTACGTATCATTACACTTCCGGCCAAGGACCCAGGGGGTCTCCCTTGGCGTGGACGCACCTGAGGGCTTGTCTCGACAATGCAACCTGGTCCTAGGCTCGCCAGAATCAAAACGTCATGCCGAGACATACCCGTAGCAACGCCATGCTCCTAATTACATATAAGACTGTGGTGTACTTGTACTTGTTTGACCGCAGCGATTGTTGTTTGTAGGTCGTCACATTGTGCCACTCTAGCGCAGCACAGATGATCACCGTTTCACGCCAAAGTGTGCGCTGATCACGGCGTCCAAAGACGGAAGCCTCTTTTTCATGGTTTATCTACCCCGAGGCTCCATAGTGTTTCTTTTTTGGGATTACCTTACAGGATTCTATATATGAACCCCAAAAAGGAACTACTTTGGAGCCTTAGGGTAGACCCTATACTTCAATACGGCTTGTTTCTGGAGCATAGTCTGTGCCCGCCAGCAGTCCAACTTTGTGGTGCTGGCCGCATCAACTTTCAGGGAGCTGTCCTCCGATTGGATACTAGGGTGGCCTTAGCAATTACCTACACTATTTTGGGGGTTCCTTGTAGGAACCATGGCATAATGGGCCCCGAAACCCTAATCCAATTATTAAGGCCCCACTCAACGAGCATAAGCTGTCAAAGGCCACGCTGCTCAGAGCTGAACTTTGTTAAGGTGCAATGGCTTAAAGTAAGAGGGATGGCAGAGCAACAGCCATAGAGGTTGTTTTTGCCTGTGTTTGAAATCTTGAGCATGATGAGAAAAGCTGATACTGGTGATCTCGCCATCTCTGTGTCTCTCTGTGTTTGTTGCTCTCTCTCTCTCTCGCTCCTTTTTCTGCATGGGTCGGTCTCTCTCGCCCCCTTCTCCCTTCGCTCCTTTATGCTATCTTGATGATCTGCGTGCTTGCTAGGTCACGGCCACATTCCGGGAACGCCTTGGTTCCAACTAGTCTGTAGTGCTGCAGAATCCTGCTGACGGCCAAATGCAGAGGATCGTTTTCCTCTTGCAGTACGGAGTCGCATTATTAGCAGTTGCAGTCGCAGTTGTAGTTGTCGTCGTAGTAGTCGTCGTAAACCCTTAACCCCTAAACCCTAAACCCTAAAACCAGTCTAAAACCCCAAACTCCCCTATAAACCCTATAGGCCCTAAACCCTAAAACCAGTCTAAAAACCTAAACCCTCGACTAAGAGCTGTGCATCGCCCCCAGGAGTTCGAAAGCGACGAGGATGAGTTAACGTGAACGGATGATCTCCGCAGCTCCATGTGATCTCTCCAACGGCCGAGAAAGCATTAGGGGTACCTTATTTTGGGGTCCTTATAGTAAGGATCCTACTATCTAGGGCACTACATGAGGGTGCCCCATTTTCGGAAACTCCTTAACAATTAGAACAGGGTTTGGGGCGGTATATTATACTATACTAAAATAAGGAACCCCCAATACCCTACTGTAGATAATCATTCAGGCCCCTACATTATGCGCAGCCTCATTTTTGCAATGTCAAGTAACACAGGGGCCTTGACAATTAGAATAGGGTTTTGGGCTCCAAAATCCTATTCTAATTGTCAAGGCCTCTATAATTAACTTTCAGAACCTAGACCTGGAGCCCACAACGTTGTGCAGCTTTCTCTTTCGCTGCCGTGTGCAACAAGCCCGCGGGACAACGAGCCGCTGGAAAGGTCACATTGTGTCACCCGACATGCTTTTGAATGTTTGAGGGTTCAGAATGTTGGGGAGAAGCAGGCGGCTCCCCAAGACGGGGAAGCAGCTTCAATGCAGCTTTTCAACAGGACTTATGTGGCTGTCTCAATATGACGGTCGCAGAAAGTGGCGATAGCCTGTTCTATGCCACGGCCGCTGCACCCGAGAGTTAAGCTCCCTGCCGTGGTCCTGGTTTCATCTCACATCTTCGGCAGATGCAGCACATGAATGGTCAGAAAACCGCATTCGCAAGGCTGATAAGGATATGGTAGCGTGATACTGGTCCGCCAAGTAGCAGTTTCATCCAGGCATACGGTGGAGTGGTTGGCGCTCACATATGTGTTCAGACTATTTCGACGGCCATGGTGTAATGATGCTGCGCCTGGATCTCTTAGATGGGGTTTGGGGTATCTTCAGCCTCACGCTCATCTTAGATCCATAATCAAGAAGGGGCCACCTCAAAGCTTCAAGACTTCTACATCACGTTTGCGTTCGCCTGTTTGCATGCTACGGCCTGATGCATCGAGGGCCAATCGTGGGTACGACGCCTCAGAAGACTGTCAAAAACCTCATGCCTCCCGTGCACCCAGCCCACCCACCAAGAGAACTCACCCCGCCCCCTGCCAGCAGTTTATATCTGTCGGCCCCTATAGATAGGATCCTTCGTGATTGTAACCCCACGTAGTATGACAGATGACGACAGTAAGCCAATCCTGTATATATATATATATGATATATATGTATACATATATATATATATATATATATACACACACATATATAACAGCATCAATCGGCCAACCCTATATCTATGTACATCTGTGGGTATATTCTAGATACAAACTTGCAAACTCGAATCATAAGAAAACATGAGTATAAACAGTAATTCACGTCGTATAGCTGTAGAACTATCAATAATTCTGAGCCTCTGCCACCAGACACCGGTCCCCAAGCCCCTGCAGCCCCTAAACCTTATAAGCCCTAAACCCTAAACCCCTAAACCCAAAGCCCTACACCCTAAACAGTAGGGTCCCCAAGCCCTTGCAGCCGTAAGATGCAAAGCCATGCCACCGGGGAGCATTCGCCAGGCCCAGGTGAGGATGATAGCAAGCTGTTTTTGCCTAAGATGAGGGCCATAATTAGTACATATATATATATATACACACACACTATTGTGGGGGCTCCTTGTGATAGTTCTCGTAAAATGGGCCCCAAAACCCTATTCTAATTACAGCGGCCCCTGTATTCAAGCCTTCATGGCTTGGTGGCTTGAGGTTGTTATTGCTTGGTGAGGCATCTGTGAGGGGGTTATAAGGGCTTCCTCATGCAGGGATTTACATTGACTTTACTGTAGTTCTATTTCGACAGGGGTTTATAAGGGCCTGAGGTCTTGAAGGGTATGTAACAATGTAGCTGTGCTTACTCGGAATATGCGCGTCTGTTTGGCAAGCGGCTGTCGATTGTTTGTCTGTCCGTCTGTCTGTTTGTCTTTCTGTCGGGCTCTCTGTCTCTCTTTGTCTCTGTCTCTCTTTTGTGTTTTCCTGTCTGTCTCTTTCCGCCCGCTTGTCTGTTTGTCTGTTTGTCTGCATGTATGCATGGATAGATGGTGTAGACTGTGTGCGTGAGAGCTTGTATGGATGGTTACGGACATGTATATATGCTCGTCAGATACAAGACGGTGTGAAAGAGAAAGAGAAAGAGAGAGAGAGAGAGAAAGAAAAACAAAAGAGAGGGTGAGAGATGTTTTGTGTTCGCGCACATGCTTGTGTATTCATGCAGCTTTGTGTATTTATGTTCACCCTTTTGTATATTCATTTTTGCATATGCATACACACGCACATGTTTTGCTTTCAAAAGTTATCCACCATTCACGTTTTGCTGTATGCGTTTAGGCATGCATGCATGCACGGATGTCTGTATGCACATGTGTATATGCATGCATGAATGCGTGTATGTATGTATGTATGTATGTATGTATGTATGTATGTATGTGTGTATATGTGTGGGCATGTATATACATCAACAGCTGTTGTCAAGCATCCTGACGTCATGCGGTATCCAAGTTCGCAGCAACTACTTTCACAAGTCTCGATTCCCAAAATCCACGCGCATTCAGTCATTCAGGTTCTGCCAGGTCATCAACATTCAATATTTGTGGTTGTTTGCAGCATAGCTAAAATGCTAACCCCGCAAGCCGCATGATTTTAGGTCTCTGTTGTGCCTGAAAGATTAATTACTGCGGAATAATCGTTTGGAAGCCAAGATGTACTCGATAGCTACTTGGACCAT